ACCGGGCGAGGAACAGAGTCGTAGGTGTGGTCAGCTCCTTGTTCCAAAACTCCGTGTCCTTCACGGCATAGGCGTAGCAGGCATTCCAAGGGGCGGCTGCGGTGAAGCCAAATGTTGGATTGGCATGGAGTTCCCGCCTCAACCTTTCGAGCTGTTCAGACCGCATTCGGCTGTCGGCCTTGCAGATGAACGGCCATGCCTCCTCCCCGAACTGGGTTACGAACCCTCGGATGTGTTCGGCATAGGCATCCAGCCTCTCAGCCTCTGCCGCCTCCAAGAGGAGGAGTGCGGTCCTGTAGCATCTCCAGGCCTTGTACCGTTCGTAGAATGAAGAGGGCCCGGGTTGCTCCTTCTTTGCCCACTCGCCTGTGGAGACGTTGAGGCTATAGCTCTGAAAGGTTTGCCGGCGAAGGAGTCGCTGACCGTGTGGGCCAAAGATTGAGAAGTCGGCGTACGGGACCGCCTGTGCCGCTAAGACCTGGCTCAATGCCGCCAACTGGTCTCGACTCACGTCTGCATCGACGCTGGGAAAGTCTCCGTAGCGGTTGCGGTAACGCTCGTGCATGCCAGTGACTTCTGCGTCACCCAATGGGTGAATCTCTGCGTCCAAGGTGGGGTCCAGGACTGCGCTGAGTTTCAACTTGCGAGCCTGAGGAGCCCCGGGCGCTGGAGCCCCTACGGCCCCTCCCACTGCCGGGAAGGGGGCCGGTGCCACTGCCGGCGCTGCAGCGGCAGGGTCGCCTGGCTGGTCGATGGTCCGACCTGACCTCAGGCAGCACACTCTCCTGAGTGACTCCAGTCTCGCTTCTTCGACTGGCGTTGGCGCCCTCACCGGTGGTCGAGGATCTCCAGCATCTTGGATCTGTAGATTGTTGACCACTCGATCCCACGTTGGCCGAGGAATGAGCGCGATCTCTCGCACTCGTGCCGGCTGACCCAGTGCGGCTTGGATGGCCTCTGCTAGCGGCCCTTCCACTCCAGCCCACCCTCTGGCTTCCGCCAGGTTGGTGATGGCTTGAAGCTCACCTTCTGTTGGATCCATTACTTACGGCTGGTCCTTCGTGAAGTAGGGGAGCTCCAGGTGTAGTTGATCTCTTCCGCGCCTTGCGGCCCTGAGTTGGACGAGATCCCTCGGTGTTCCGGAGGGTGAATCTCTTGTAGCCGTTGAAGGCCACACCCACCAGGCGCCGCTTGTTGACAAAGCGGATGGCACGGCGTGCGAGTCGCTCCCAGGCTAGCTGGGTTCGTTGGCTGGCCGCTGACCGAGGGGCAGGTGAGCACGCCCACCCGATCGCGATGCCAACCAACAGAGTCAGGGCCCACACCGATCCCACGACGACCAGGGGCTCAAACTCCCACCGATCTTCAGGAACGGCAGCAACCGCCAACTCCCCCATGCCCACCTGTGGTTCGACTCAGCTGGAGCCAAAATGGCATACGGAAAGAAACCTCAACCACACTCCTGCATTGTCAACTCCACAAAATTGTGTTCTCTCAACAAAACTCTTCCAATATTCAATTATTCCATGTCACAGCTCACTGCGCCTGGACCCCTGGATGTCCACAATGGAAGCTGTCCGATGATTCAACTCTGGCCTAGTCTCCAGACCAATCAGCCTCCACAGAGACAATTCTTTGACATGTTTGACCATTGGCTGAGATTGCTTCATGGACAAAATCCGGAATCAAACACTCCAAGCAGCTTTGTACAATCAGGTTGCTGCGCAGTATTGAGTATTCACATCTGCTTCGTTGATACTTCCAATTGGTTTCAATTCCAGGCTTTGCCAGACTGGCATGGAAAGTCGTTGTCTCGTAAGCCAGTCTTAATACACCTATTTCTTCATTGTCTTCACAGCTGTTTGATGGTCTTTCCATGCCTGACTCGAGAGCCCACTTGGAAAGCTGGCCTCAAGTTGTTGGTGCGTGACGACATCGCCGAGTATTCTGTTGCCCCAACCTAATAGCGTCCGATCGCTCCGTTCGTAGTGATGCTCTTGGTTCCTAGTAGCGTCCTCTTGCTCCTACTACTAAGGCCAGGAGCCCCGAACGTAGCGTTCCGATCGCTCCTAATAGCGATGGCCTCCAACCCCAATAAGTGACACCTGTTGGATGACTTTCTGCTCTTTGGCTGTCCAGGATTCGATGCTTGGATGGTGTGGGCTCGGATGGCACAGGCTTGGATGGAGCAGCAGGAGCACTCCTCAGGCAGAAGTTTTTCTTGCTTCATCACAACAAGGACGCTACTAGGGCTCCTGGCATCGCTACTAGGAGCAAGGACGCTACTAGGGGCTCC